CAGAACTTACAAATTTGTTTGCTCATTTTTCAGAGTGTGGAAAAATTTATAAACTTGCTATTGATTCTATGAGAAAAAAGTTTAAAAAATATTGTTTCCCTATTCCCCCTATTTATGATGTTTCTGTTTTGTTAAATCCTTGTATGAAATTAGGAGGTCCTCATTTTTGGTATGAAACTGTTTATAATGGTTTAGCACTTGAAGATGAGGAATCGTCTCAACTTCCGGAAGCAATAGCCATAATTAGAATAAATGCTCAAACTATTTTTAATACTTATCAAGTTGCATTAAATCATGCTAGACCAAATGTTCTAACTCCTTATTCTTCTGATTCTCAATCATCTAAAAGCACTGCGGAAATAAGAGCACTTAGTGCTTGGGCGGCATTTAGAGGTTCTCAAGGTTCTAGTAGTAGTGATTTTTCATAATTAAATAAGCTTGAAGTTTATTTGTCGCAAGGAATTGAGGAAGTGAATCCTGACGGCTCCTTTAATCTTTTGGAATGGTGGAAGGACAAAGAAAAATAATTTCCGGTTCTTTCAAGGATGGCCCGAGATATTTTAACTATTCAAGCTTCAACAGTGGCATCAGAGAGCGCTTTCAGTCAAGCAAGACTTCAACTCGGTGATTATAGGGCATCTATGAGGGAGAGTTTGGAAAAATCAGTTGGATCCGGTTAGAAAGAAGAAATTTTGGACTTGCTGAATCACAACCAGATGAAGACGAACCTTACGAAGAAATGCTAGCTGAACTTGCGGAGGATGTTGCTTCACCCGGAAGTGGCGATGACCAAGCTACTTTTCCGCCACCACCAACGAAAATTCCTCCGGACCTTGATAGATTTATGAAGTTTGTAAGAGATATCATGTAACTTGTATGAACAAAAATTAGTATGTATTATGTAACTTATATTTTGGCACATCTTTGATTAGTTTCTTTTTTTTCTCAATGGTGGTATTAGCACCTTGTTGTGTTCATTCCATAGGGGGGATGAAGACTAAGAAAGATATTGCCATATTTTTTAATGCTATAATAAAATTATAAGGCATTGCTTTGAATATCTCTTTACAATATTTTTGTCTTTAGACTTTAAATTTGAATTAAAAAATATTTAAAAATTTAGGTCATAATTCTATAATACATTTTACAAGGCATTGCCTTAGATATTATTTTTAACATCATTTTGTATCTAATTTCTATTTAATTTTTTTTTAAATCCGTTGGGCCCACTTAGCCCATTTAGTCCGCGGGCCGGGACCGTTTGGCCCGTTTAATTTGGGATCGGGCCGGATCCGGGACCGAGACCGTTTGGACCGGATCACTTAGCCCGTTTAGGCCCAGAACTCACCCACTTGCCACCCTTACTTATATCCAATCTATTAGAATCGGTTTCCTTGTCTAATGATGTTTTAGTTTAGCGAATACGGTTTGAATTTTCCTGTTTAGCTACATATTTTATTAGGCAAAAGGGTATACAGCCAATCTTAGTAAGTTAAAGGGTCCAAAATCACGTTGCACAAATTATTTATTTAAAAAACCCCTATAAACTTGAAAGGTGAACCCAAATACTATATATGAGAAGTGTTTGAAATATTTTCCTTCAAATGGCAAATCAACTCAATATAAGACAAAAATCCGACTCAATATAAGACAAAAATCCGAGTTATTTATTTAAACATTTAGTCCTTTTAATTCGTATCAAGAGAGGATAGGGTAATAATAGAACAAAAAGTCAACAAATCTATGGAAAGATAACAGTAGAAATTACTATTTTGATTATCATAAAATAATTCTAGTCTATAAAGGCAAATTTGTCTTTTTCGTCAATATTTTGTAAAAGGATTCTATAGTTGCGTGTGTTGTGATGTGATGTATAATGAACCTATTAATCAATTCATAATGCCATCTAATCAATATTAGGAATGATGATTTAAATCGTATCAGTAATATATTAATTGGCAAAAGGGTATACTGCAAATCTTTGAAAGTTAAAGGGTCAAAATCACATTTTATCATGTTATTTTAACAAGAAATTCAGAACTTATATGCGACAAAACACTAAACACTGATGAGTTATTTCAAGTTCAAGTACAAAATATGCCACAAAACACGAAGTTATTTATTTAAACTTATTTTCAAGAGAGGGAGTAATAACAAAACGTTAAGTTACTCCCTTCATTTATTTTATGTAACATTATTTTTAATTAGTCAGTTTTTTTAAAAAAAATTATATTTAAAAATAATTTAATTTTAAATATTTTATTTTACTTATAATGACTTGGCAGTATAACAAATCTTACGGCATATTTGAAATTGTAAGGTTCAATTTTTTTCCCTTCAATTTTGTGTACAACTAACTATGCCACATAAATTAAAATAAATAGAATATTTGTTTTAATTAGGTATAGAATGTTTCTAATCAAGATAGGACAAATTTGTCTCATGCTCATATCTTGAAAAAGGATTCAAGTTGCGTGTGTGATGTATAATTCCCTATAAATCAATTCATAATGTCAAAATTTAAGGAAAAATAAGAATATTTCTTGTATTCGTTTTCTTAGTAATTGCAATTTGTATGGTATGTAATGACAACACGTAGTCGTAGGCAGAGGTGGATGCAGTATTTTGCGATACCGAATTCATATTTTTTGGGTGAACCATAAATTTATGCATAAAAATAAATTTAAATCATAACAAATAGTAGGTTTGAATCGATAATATTAAAAATACAGTGAGTTGTTAATTAAAATTTTTAAAAATTGAATCTATAGAGTTTAAATCATGAATACAACTCTATCTACATCTAAACATAATGACAATAATAAAACATATTTGAGTTTGAGATTTGAGAATATTGTGATTCTTTTGCTAGTAGATGTTTTCCTTATCCTATCATTTTTTTTCTTGAAAGAAAGTATCATAATCTAAATGAAGAAAAAAGGTAAGGCCATTTTATGGAGAGAGAAAATATTGCAGGACCAAACAGAAACATATTTTCTTTCGTTTCATTTTACGTGGTCATATTTGAATAGACATAAATTTAAAAAAAACATAACATTCAAAAATTGCCATATTAAATATGTATGATATTCGTATGTGTATAAAAAATCATGTCCAAATGAAAAAATTAAGAATAAAAAATTTCTACACAAAAAAAAATCCATTATTATTGTAACAGATTAAAAAAATATCATCACGAAACAGAAGTACAGTAATATTAATTATAGAGAGGCCCACAAGCATATGCATGAGAATAGAAGACAAGAAGAGAAGGTTAAAAGAGGGAGAGAATATTTGGCAAAAAGGCGTACCAAAAAGGCTACTTTAATTAGCCTCTCTCTTCCCATTACACGCCACCTTTTTATCACAAGAAATTATAGGGAAATAATAAGTACTTCTCCATTTTTAATTAATAATTTTGAGTTCAAATTTTAAGAATTAAGTTATTTTTGTTTGAGCGTTATACCTTTCAATATAAAACTTGTCGGCAAGAATTCAAACTAAAAAGGGAAAGAATATTTGGCAGAAAGGCGTACCAAAAAAGGCTACTTTTATTAGCCACTCTCTTCCAATTACAAACCACCTTTTCTCATCATAAGAAATTGTATTGAAATAGTTAGTACTTCCCGTTTTTAACTAGTAATTTCGAGTTCAAATCTTAAGAATAAAGTTATTTTTGTTTGAGCATTTTACTCTTTTAATGTGAAATTTGTCGGCGTAAATTCATATTAATTATGCTCAAAACTAATACCGAACACCACACTTTCTTATTTATTCTTCTTATTTCTCTCTCTCCCTAACTCTCCTGTGAGAACCCCCACCTTGCCTTACCCAATTGTCTCATCCATATATTAATTTCTTGCCTCTCTGTCTAATCCCTGTTCACAACTCACAAGTATTTATTGCAAAAAGTTGCATCGCAAAAGTTCCTACCTTTTGGTTTTGTTGCATTTACTTTTCCATACAAGTTCATGACTTACTTTCTTGCCCTTCTTTCTCTTTATTATTCTCATGCATACCACATTTGGGAAATCTCCAACTTTTCCAAATCGATTGGTGGCATTTGTTTTAGATTTTGTAAAAAACATATTTTCTACGAAGCATGACAAAAAGTAAGCTAGTGTTTGGATATAAATTTGGTTGAAAGTTGAAAAAGAATTAAAATTATGTTAAAAAATATTTTTTGAAAATTGAAATTATGCTTGAAAATGCATTTTTACTTGAAATATTATTAAAGTTTTGTGAGTGAAAAAAATTCACCCAAAAATTAGTCCAAACCATTTTTGGGAACTTGAAAAATTCTCTACAATATTTTTTTAAAAACTGATCAAATTCCATGAACAAACAATATTTTCAGATTCTTTTTGACAAAAAATAGCTAAATCTATGTCCGAACGGGAGCTAAAACTTTCACAAGATTTCAAATTTCATTTCTCAAAATCATTCAAATTAAGTTTGAAAATATTTTTAAAAATACAAAACCAACTCCAAACAAACACTTTTTGTGAAAACTCAAAAACTAAGTTCTTAAATTATGCTTACTTCTAAACAAACACCACCACTATTTTGATCATATTGTCACAAGTTTCGGACCAGGCAAGAGATATTCATGTTTCTACAAAAACCATGGGAGTACAAACAAATCTCCAAAATTCTAAAAGAAAAAAAGAAATCATGATTCATGCATAGACAGGATGCAATATTTAACAGATAATAAGATTCCTTGTGGGTTCTACTTGTATATCCTTCTAAAAACCGTCCTAATAATTTAATATTGTCAAAATCTCTTAAATTAGAAAAATAAGAAATAAAAAAAAATTAAAAAAAAGAAGAGAAAAGGAGTATTCTGTACTACACTAATAAGTGTCCAATATTTGCCTTTTACTTCAATCTATGTCACAACATCACTTTTCAACCATTAATGAAGTGACCTAAAACCTACTCCATCACAAAAATATAGTAACAATAATAATAATAATAAATTAAAAAACCTACTATCACACAAAAATAAATATATCTAGGGTTCCCCTATCCCACTCCTTTCTCCTCCTTTTCCTCCACAAATGATCAACTCCACCACCATCACCACCGTTGGCGCCGCCGTCAAACGCCACAAAACTCACCACCACTGCCACGACTACGACGACGATCAGTCCTTGATCCCTGGACTTCCCGATCATATAGCTCAAATTTGTTTAAATCTTGTACACCCTTTTACACTTTTTTCCGTTTGCCATTCTTGGCGTAAGCTTATTTATTCTCCTTCTTTTCCACCATATTTATCTATATATGCTTTATTATTACCTTTACAAACTATAACTGAAACATCAAACTCAGCAAATTTTGCAAACTCTATAGAATTTGCTTCTTTTGATCCAATCTCATCAAAATGGCATCTTCTTCCACCACCACCACCGGACCCACCACTTAGACTCCTCGTTAAGCATCCTTCGTTTATTTCGAGAAATCTACCGGTTCAATCGGTAAGTGTTTCGGGAAATTTAATTCTCCTCGCTGCCACAGCGGATCATTTCTTGCCGGCGATTTCTCGCCCGCTCATTTTCAATCCGCTGAAGAAACAATGGAGCTACGGTCCTCCACTCGCCAAGCCACGTCGTTGGTGCGCTACAGGCGCATTAAATGATGCGGTGTATGTGGCGAGTGGAGTTGGGTCCCACTACAACCCCGAGATAGCTCGCTCAGTTGTAAAGTGGAACCTTAATGAAAGTAACAGAAGTGAACCCCATTACTGTACATGTAAAAGTGACATTTACTGTAACAGAAAGGAGGAAAAAAATGGGTGGAAATGGAAGGAAATGAGTAGGTTAAAAGATGGGAAGTTCAGTAGGGAAGCAATTGATGCTATTGGATGGAAAGGAAAGTTATGTATGGTAAATGTGAAAGGTGATGCTGCTAAAGAAGGAATAATTTATAATGGGGGAAGTGACACGTGGCAAGAGATGCCGGAGGGTATGCTTATGGGGTGGAGGGGTCCGGCAGCTGCGGTGGCGGAGGAGACAATATATATGGTGGATGAATCTAAGGGTGCATTGAGGAAATATGATGAAGAGAGGGATATTTGGGTGGAGATAGTTGAAAATGAGAGGCTGAAGGGTGCGGAATATGTAGCGGCGGGCGGTGGTAGAGTGTGCGTGGTTGGCGGCGGAGGGAATGGAATAACGGTGGTGGATGTGGTGGAGGAGCCGCCGAGGGTGGTAGTGGTGGAAAGTCCGGTAGGGTTTCAGGTTTTGAATATACATGTTTTACCTAGGATGAGTCAAATGGTTGAATATTCTGAGTCAATAGAACAAGGTGAATATTGAGTATAATCTTTTGCTTTTATTATTTTTTTCGAATTTGTATATTTCTTCTCCAATATATGGAACGGTATACGTATTAAAGTATGTGCAATGTTATAAAGTTATATAGTATTTAATTTGCGTAATATATACAACAACAACAACTCAGTATAATCTCACTAGTGGGGTCTGGGGAGGGTAGTGTGTACGCAGACCTTACCCCTACCCTGGAATAGAGAGGTTGTTTTCGATAGACCCTCGACTCCCTCCCTCCAAGAACTCCCCACCTTACACTTGGGGTGACTTGAACTCACAACCTCTTACTGTAGTATATACACATACAACGGATTCTCATCATGTGCATCGTGAGGCTTAACAAGATTTTATATATGTATACGAGATGAATCTCAATGCTTTTCTTCTTTTTTCTGAAATTCTTGTCGGTCTCGTATTGTACCAGAATCCTGATTAATTTAAATTCATGTCACGTAAGGTTTAAAAAATACTCCGTACAAAATTTTTTCCATTCTCAAGTAGTGAACTTGAGCCTTCGATTGATCTTATCCATCCCGTCATGACCGTGTCAATGTTGTTTGGTCTTCAAATACATCAATAATAGTGATCCAAGTCGGATTGCTGTCATAGTATTTAGCCATTGTGGAACAGAACTAATGCCGGTCCCAAGTGTTAGGACGTTTTAGTCACAAACGTTTTAAACCATTTCTAATAGGAAAAGGGCCAAATATACCCCCTCTGCTTTCATATATTGTCTATATTTAACATTTGTTATATTATCAGGTCAAATTTACCTCTACAATCAGCAAATTTTTAAAAATACCCCTTGATCTGTTAAGTAATCTAAAATCTCTCAAATTTCTTTTATTTAAAATATTTATTGTTGTTCTTGGTCCATTATTTTGAAATAATTGGCATTTTATCTGCTTTCTGAATTAGAGAAAAAAAATAAGAGAAAAAAATATTAAATAATACAACTAAATAAACAAAGTATAATAAATTGAAAAATCTAAATTAGGTAGCTTTTCTAAATTTTAAAAGTATTTACAACATCCCAATTTTAATGAATTTGTTGCACCAAATGTATGGAGACTTTGTAAGTATTAGTGATTGAAGTTGAAGTTCATCGGAGACTTTACATTGTCTAATTCAACTTTGCTTTAATTAAATGCTTACACATTGTGCACTTTTAAGTTAGTCGATCAAACTTTATACTAACCAGACAATGACAAAATATATTTGAATATACATGTATATACATGATGATCAGCTGCATATAAATCACAATAAGTAGACCCACTAAATTCTACGGTGCGTAAATGATTGAAAAATAAATAATATTCTAAACCAATTTTATTTAGTACAAGAAGAGAAATGGGTGCATTGGTAACATAAAAAATTATGAATAATTTGTATAGTCTAGTAACTTTATCATTCACATCAATAGTAATTATTAAAAATAATAAAGCAAGAAGAACAACAAGCGATTTAAATAAAAAGAATTTGGGAAATTTTGGATTACTTAACAAATCAAGGTGTATTTTTAAAAATACTGATTGTAGGGGTAGATTTGGCCCCGTAGTATAACGATAGGGGTAAATTTGGTCTGATAGTATAACGGAGGTTAAATGTAAATAATATATGAAAGTATATGAGTATATTTCTACTGTGAATTGCTCTTTTTCTTAAAGTAAGGATTGATTGCCAAATCCCAAATAAGTGAAAAACAGCATGCATCGTGGAATTGTAGTTACCCAAGTTTTATAGGGGAAAATGATACTATATATCTGCTTTCAAAATAATAACTAAAAATATATTTAAAAAAAATATTTATTTTTGTATATATATACATTATATATGTAATATACAAAATTATATAAATTCTATACACTGTTTGGTTACTAAATATAAATAGTATGTTAAAAGTGATAATACCCCTTTATAAGATGATATTGGCATTACCGCAAATTTGTGGGGTTGATTTATATTAGATGCAATGTTATAAACCAAAAAAACTATTTGATCAGTTTCATTTTATGTGACACTCTTTTTCTTTAATGTGTTTGAAAAAAAATGTAACCTTTCTTTTAATCATTTTATAGGGAAAGACATGAAATTGTTAACTCACTCATTTAAGAAGATATTAATTTTGTATTTTGCACATTCTAACACATAAAAACTCTTTCTAATTTCTTAAATTTTTAGTTGATAAATACCTTCACCCAAAATAGTTTGGAACACATATTTTCAAACTTACCCGTCTTTTCCTACGAGTATTTTCTAATCAATGGGAAGGTGGTATATTTCACGGACAAGGAAACATGTAGGGAGGTGCTAACTAACTCTATCTTTCTATTTTTATTAGTACCTTTCACTTTTTAGAATTAATTTCAAAAGTCAAGGACACGAGATAAACTAGTGAGTTTCTCGGGTTACTTTATTTATTTAAATTGACTGATATTGTGTCAACAATATGATAGCTCATTCCTCGTGAAATTAGTTACGATACTCGTAAGATAGGTCAAATACTACGGTTATTATTTTAAAAAAGGACCATTTGCACACTAATTAGTTAAAAGTGTACATCTAATAATTTTGTCAACTTTTATATTAGGTTCGAATAATATTTAGATAAATGGTTTTGCTTTCAACTAATTAGATTTTCTTGGTTGGGTCATGAAAATTGGATTGATTTAAAATGTTTTTTTTGGTTCCTCCACTAATAAATCCCCACTTATTCAAGCTCTTTGTTAACGTACATTGCACCATCTGATTACTGTTAAAGATTATTTTAATTCTTTTGCTCTAGAAATTTCGAAGGTCATGTAGGGTAAGTTTGGTATGATACTAAATGTTTTGGTATGATACTAAATGTTCCCCTGAATTCAAATTATTTTTTTCATGTGGTGTGTATATTTGTTGTTTGTTTTTGTTCGCTTAAATTATAGTGAAAGTATACACCAATTTAGGGTAAACATCATTGTCAATATTTATTAATAACAACTATTCGGAAAGCACTACTCTCATCTTTGTGCTCACTAATATCACATCCACCCCTCTTTATATTAGGGGCGGACTAGAAGGATAGCTACGAATCCAGTGAATCTAGTAACTTATTTAGTCCAAATATTATATTTGTATTAAGAAACTAGTCTCTGGTTATATTCTGCCGATACCAAAAAATAATTAGGAAAGTCTAAGTAAAACATCTTTTATGTAAATAAAAGTTTTACATGGTGGACGACTTAAGTTATAGAGTATTAAATATATCATTAGGTTAAAATTGTCCCAGAATAACGTATCTTCTAAAATATACAGAAAATTGCAACATTATCCCACTTATCTCACCGCCTAGTAGATACTCTCTCCGATCCATAATAAGTGACCTTTTGGCCTTTTTATTTTTGTCCAAAATAAGTGTCATTTTACATAATCAAGAAGGAATTAATTTTATTTTATCAAAATTTGCCCTTATTTACATATCTCAATGTGTCAAGGTAACAATTAATCAAGGGCAATTTAGTGAATATATCTTTTTTTTAAGAGTTCGTATTTTCTTAAGGGATGTGTCTAAGGCTAAAAGTCACTTATTAAATATGACCAGAAGGAGTAATATTGAGGGAAATGCATAGTTTTGCCGATTATTAAAGGGGCAAGTGCGTATATAGTCATTCTCACGATGCTATTTAGAGATTAGTCACTATTTATTTTGTCCTAAAATTTTAAACTAAAAATCTTAACTTCAGAACAATTCGGGACATTTTTGTCTTGAAAAATTAAACTGAAATAGTAAAATTCAGGACGCACTGACTAATTCTTAAATAGCAATCCTTTAGAGTGACCACCAATATCATTTCTGCATTATTAGATGAACTTAATTCATATTAAAGTTTAGGTCCCGTGGACCAAATATAAGTCCACAGGAATAATTGGACTGTATCGTTGGGCAATATATTTAGCCGGGCAATATATTTAGCCCATCGGTTACATGCTCATATTCTAGATTGTTGTGTATAATTTTTTTTTTAAAGAATTAACTTAAATAGCCGCTTATTCAATCGCTTAAACTAAAAATAATCGATGGATGTATAACATACGTATAATTCATATATAATATGTATAACCATAGAATCAGTGTGTAATCTATGTATACCGACTAGGAAAAGAATCCAATTGGCTATTTGTGTAAAGACCCCTTTCTTATAACGGTGGTGTCCGAGCCGGTTTGCACAACATGGACTATTTCACTAAAAGAATTTTTTTTTCTGCTGGAATTTGAACAGAATACCTCATAGTTCTTCGCCCACTTTATTGACCATTAGGCTATACCTTTAGGCGTAGATTGTTGTATATAAATTTTATGAAGTTTAAAGGTAATTTAATATCTTTTAATATTATTTTCATTTTGAATGGTTGAAATGACTAAAAAATGCATGTTAACAGAAAAAAAACACTTTATGACGGTAATTTTTCTAAAGAAAATTAATTCATCAAATGGGAAGATAAATTCTAGGCCAGCATAGGCTAACCTAGTTGAGATTAAATTGCAGATACAAATTATAAGCTCATTGTTTGGAAGATCTCAAGCTGCTTAAACACGATGTTTAAGAGAGATAAAAGGTAATTTAAACAGACACTATAATTAGATTCATTAGATGCTTTCTGTTATGAAATAATAAAAGGATAATGAAGAATATTGCAGAGAAAAGTAGAGAGAGAATTCTTATTAATTAGGGATAAATTACAATGAAATAGAACCCCTTTATTTATAAGGTTAACTAGTTGTTTACCCACAAAAATAAAACTATTTACCCTTGCCTACTCATTTACTTATATACCTATCAAACTAATTACATTTCCTATGCATGATAGCTTTTGTGGGTAATTTCTTCTCTTTTTTTTTTCTCCTTTTCTTTTTTATTTCTCTGTTTCTTTTCGTTTTTCCTTCTTTTCTTTCTTTTCTCCTTTTTTTCTCGTTTTCTTCTCATTTTTTTCTTTTTTCTTCTTTTTTGTTTATTTATTTTTACCCGAATCTTATTATTATTATTATTATTATTATTATTATTATTATTATTATTATTATTATTATT